TGTGCTGGGCCCCTGCAAGACTCACAGGAAACAAATACAGAATCTGACCTGACTTCAAAAATGTCCCCCGGAGGTGCTGTCAGAACTACTGTCACCAAACCTAACCAAGGCAGCAAGCACAGCTGCACAAAACAAACATATTTCATGCTGGCTACTCAATTTACCATTGGGTGGAGACTAATGAGCTCATTCCATGGAAAAGATTACCTCCCATTGTGGAAAGACTGATAGGACAGTCCACTCTGAATAATCTTGAGATATGTGTATCAGTGGTTCTCAGCATTGGCTGCCTAATCGGAATCACCTGGGAAGCTTCTTAAAGTCCATCCAAAAGCTTAGGCTACTTTCCAAAATATTTCACTCTGACTCTTGGGGCTACCAATCCTCAGTAGCAATAGAAAAGTCCCCCTGGTGATTCCAATGCACAGCCAAGTCTGCAAATCAACCCTTGTTTAGGTGCCCTAGCTGCCTGATAAACTCCACAGTCAGGAGAGGGGGACCCCCAAGGGGCTGAATCCCAAGACACTGCAGGGAACTGATGACAAAGGCATCTGTTTACCCAAAGCAAAACTTGCCAAACTTCCAATATATCAGTTAGAAATAGAGAGAAAAGCAAGGGATCAGGGAATAAGCTGGGAATCTGCTGCCAAGAGAGCCTATGAACCTACTTCTTTTGTCTAGACACCACTGAACATAAAACTAGAAGGCTTTTGAGAAGTCGGGTAGGCTGTCCTCTGCCCTTGGGGAACTCTGCATCTAGACCATCCAAGCAGATTCTGCAGAACCTTCCAGGGGATCAGAAAGACTTCCTTCTAGGACAGGTCTAGAATGACGATTTTCCAAGCTGGAGACATTACAAACAGCAAAAAATACGAAGCTCTTCAGGCTTCAGTGAAATTGTCACTAGTAAACATGAGTGATGGACTAACAAAAATTTAGGAGCCCTCCCACTGAGCAAGTGCCTTTGTAATATTTATTCAAGAAGTCATAAGTTCTATCCTGTGCTCACATGACACTCTTGAGAGACATTCATAAAAATTAGAGCTTATCAACAGAATGAGCAAGTACATATGAATCATTTCTTTAAAAAAAGGAGGCAAGGTAGAAGAAAATATTCTTCAAGGCTATATCTTAATTGGAAAAAAAAGATGATGGTTAAAAGCAAGTGCTGAATTAAATATCTGATAATTTTTCTTTCATAAGAATCCTGTCTGTAATAGGCAAAAATTTTCAACAACCTAGCCGGGCAATAATCTTGCTAACATTTAATGTTTTTTTTAAAAAAAAATACTCTAAAATCACTATTCATTTCCTTATACATGCTTTTGAGAAAGTGTTCCCAGCTCTGAAAAAAAATCAGATCAAACTAAATACTCAGCAAAAAAGAATTGAGGGAAGGAATACACCACTGTGAAAATAAAAGCTAATGAAGGCTTTGTTCATCCCTGTCTTCACTAACTGATGCAATTAGTGATGTAATTAGTGATGTCTTCCAGTGATGCAATACTTTGTACAGAAGATACTTCATATATACCACACTTCTTTAATTACTTAATATTTTTGGAACTCTAATCATTTCATCATTGTATGACTCAGTGAGTATGGCACTTTCATGTTCAAAAATCAGTTTTGGCCCACAGAGAAAAATCATTCAGAAAACAATAGAGAAGGAATGGATGAAACTGACCTAAACCAAAAACAAAACAAAACAAAACACCAGCAAAAAACAATGAGTCCATTTTTGGTTTTTGAACTTGTTTCAATAGTAACCTTATATTTATTGAGTGTTTAATTGTAACGCACTTCCTTTTGTTGGTGTTGGCTTATGAAATAGAGCATGTGTGGGCGACATTGAGCAGATGGAGAAATGCAGGACCAGAGAGGGTATATGGCTTCCCCTAGGACTAGGGTGGGCAACTACAGCCTGTGGACTCTATCTGCTCGTGGCCTGTTCTTGTACGGATCATGAGTTAAGAGTAGCTTTTACATTTTGCCATTGGAGCTTACAAGTGAGTCCCACTCCTTCTTTTATGCATTGCCTGTGGCTGCTTTTGCACTACAACAGCAGAGCTGAATAGTTGCTGTAGAGACTGTACCCCCCTCAAAGCCAAAAAATATTTCCTCCCTGGCCCTTTACAGGAAAAGTTTGCTGACTCCTGCCTGAAACCTACAGGGAAACCATGAGCACAGGCCAGATTTTTAGGAACCAGTCCAATGTTCTTTCCACTCAATCTTTTGCCTTTCCTTAAACCATTTCAGCATCTGGTTCATCCGAGGGATAAGAGGACATTTATGAAGCATGAAAATAGGTACTTGAAGTAGAAAGAAAGAAGGCATTGAGAACAGAGTCAGATACATGACATGAGGAGACCAAAGGTACACTGACTCATCTCCCAGTTCACGGATCTACGGAAGAGGAGAAACTCTGCTCCAGAATGGATCGAATCCTGAATTTCACCCATACCTGATTTGGATGATTTACGTGATGAGATCTGGAACCTTTTGAGTTGATATTTATATTCGATATGAGACAAAGTTGATGCTGGAATGGATTAAGACTTTGGGGACTATTGGAATGAGGCGAATGTGTTTTGCTTGTGGGATAGACAGGAAGCTGGGAGCAGACCGTACTGAGCTGGACAACATCCTTCCGAATTCATGCAAACTCAACCTCAGAAAGTAACTATATTTGGAAATGGTGTCTTTGTAGATGTAATCAAGTTATGATGAGGTCATTCTAGATTAGGGTGGGCCCTAATCCAATGGCTGGTGTCCTTATAAGAAGAAAATTTGGTCACAGACAGAGAGGAAAATGCCACGTGCACCGAGAGTCACCAGGGGAGAGCTCTTTGTGAAGAGCGAGGCGGAGCCTGGAAAGGACACCAGAGATTGCCAGCAACCACCAAAAGCCAGGAGGGACACAAGGAACGGTTTCCCTCAGAGCCTCCGGTTGCCACATAGATTTTTCTTTTAAACGACTCAAGGTGAGGCGCTTGGTTACAGCAGCTGTAGGAAATTCACAGAGATTAGTGACCAAGTAGACAAGGTGGATGACAAAGAATTAAGATCAAGAGAAAGGGGGAAAATGGTAGAATGTCAAACCCCATAAAATTTTTTTGTTCCAAGTACAAACTCGTCACTCTAGAAGAAGTTTTGAGGGAAAACAAAATCAAACCAAACCCAGAGACCTGGATTACAAAACTTGATTGGGTTTTACAAATATGTCGCCAAGGTAAGCAGAACTGACTTACACTTAAACATTCTCTTCCCTGAGGTCTGCTTACAAATCCATCCCTGAATTCCCAGCTTCCCCCAGCCACCCTTCTGTGACGGAGAAACCAAATGCATTTTACAACAGAGAAAAACAGATGAACTAAACCACAGGGATGTGTCTGACATACCTCTTCTCCTTATTCTAAATTTTCACAGATGGCCTAATTTTTAAAACACCTTGGACGGGGTAATGAAAAAAGGATGGCCCAGGTTTGAAGGATATAAAAGCGTGTACTTAAAACCAATGCGTGAAAGGATCATCAGAGTTACTTGTAGAATCTCCCAGTGGCTCAGATGCACCTCTCACATTACTCGGCACCAGATATATTAATGCCCAATGCCCCCTCTGCACACATACTTTGCAGCTAATGTCCCCTCAACACATTTTTCAGAATGTTGAAACTAGAGGCAAAATACACTTTTTTATTTCTTCAAGACTACAAGGATGTGGTGGTGGACGTAAATTTGTAGACACAGTGTAAAAGTAAGTCTAAGATTTGGTGCATGCTGTGTTTTTCCATGTAATTCAGTCACTGAGAAATTAAAAAATTAGATTGATTGCTTGAAAGTCTCTGTATATTATATAGGGTGAACACAAATAACACCCCTGTTTTTATTACAAAATCTTTTGTTACAAAATTATAAGCACGTAATTCTGTAACAACTATATCACACTCAAGCACATGATATGACCTTTTGGGTGAAATCTTCAAATTAAAACTATAAATTATTATACCCATATTATTACCCTACCAACCACATTCAAGCAGGCATTACTTCCACTGGACACTGTATGTATAAAATATACATGAACACAGGTGTCACAAGTTCATGATAAAGTTGTCCTTGGGGTCTATACAAAAGCCCATGAAGTTCTGGCTTTTTAGCAGCTATATTTCTTTTTAATAGATCCTCAAGAGATTCTTCTGAGACAGAATTTTTTCTTTATCATCATGTCATGTTGTAATTTGGTATTATTTTAAATAAACTCTATTTCTAACCCACATGCCTGATGAAGTTAGGCACAGTACTTTCCCCTGGGTTTCACATGCCACTACACTGCATACAGTTTTATTTGCCTCCTTCTCCCATCATCATGCCTCAGTATTTCCTATGGTCTTAAACCAATTTGTATTTTAAACATTTCCAGTGGTGACAGGAAAGCCAATGCCAGCTTGATATCATCATCACTTTGCCAGAGTCCGCTGCTATTTGGGACATAAACCGTCGCTCTCATAAGGAAGGGATCACTTAACTCCCAAGAAGGGCTAGCTCTCAAAATAAATAAACAAACCCCATGCTTTCTCTGAGTATCTACAGGGCATTTGTGAAAATATTTCCTAAGATGGGGAATTCTTAAAAAGTTGACCATTACAAACCCAAGGTCTTCCTTGCTCCATTGGAAAGCTAACTGGGTATCTCAGCTGAAAAAGAACACATACTTGTCTTCCTTTTCTCAGTCCCTGGAATAAGCCCACTAAACAACTTCCCCCATATCTGAATCCCTGCACAGGGGATAGCCCACACTCCCTCTCTGCTAGAGCTCCCAGCATACATGGAACCACAGGGCTGACCACATTCATTACACTTCTCAGACGTTTGAGCTCAAGGGCCTCTTTTGGCCTCTGACCAAAGCACCCAGTAAGCCTTTTAGCTCAAAAAACCCCTGCTAACAGAGCTGGAACACGCAGCCTCCCACACAGGGCCTACGCCCTTCGGCGCATTACCTTATTCTGCTCACACACATACTGGATCCTCAGCATGTCCATGGCTCTGATCATGGCCTGCATGGCGGTGAATATATTCTGGTACACCAGCTTCGTGAACCCCTTTCTGTCTTCATCGCTGTAGCCAGACCCATGGATAATTCTCATTTGCTTGATGAAGGTGCTTTTGCCACTTTCCCCGGTTCCTAACAAGACCAAACCAGTGAAACACACAGTCAGCAGTCTTAAAAAAACACACCAAGAGAGATAGGACCTCCTGGCAGGTCCGTCCACATCACAACTAACAGGCTGACTGAGTGAACTTGGAAAAGGCTTGTCGAGTGCTGAGCCAGAGTTAGTACCATCCTAAATCCTGGGCAAAGGGGTATTTACCCTGGACACTGTGCTTTAGGAGGCCTTAAATCAATCAATCAATCAATTAGCATCTCTCTCAAATTTGTAGAAACACACACATAGTTTATTAAGGACACATGAGTGCCTGTGTCACTTGGAGTAATCTTGAACATCAGCTCTGTGACTAACACAGTTTAGGCCCCAGAGAACTGCTCCCCCACCCCTCTTAACCCAAGTCCTCAAAACAAGTGGCAGCTGTGTCCAAAAGCTCCAGACCCCGGAGGATCCCCCACTGCTACAGGGCAGTGGCAGTCGTGGAGGTTGCTCCAGAGCACGGGATGGTGTAGGCAGCAAAACTGGCTGAGAAGAGAGGCTAATTCACTCGGCAAGCCCTTTCTTTGAGATCCCTGAATACAACCAGTTCTTGCACAATGAAGCACCCGCCCAACTGCACAAAGTGTCTATATTCTTGTTCCTCCTCATATTCCAATTTGTCGTTCAGGAGGTCCTCTAACGCCTGCACCTGGCAGCCCAGGAACAGCTGAGCACAGCAAATCATTTCAATTGTTCTTAAATTTGTACAGATGTCCAGGCATAACACGTGTGATATATGATGCCTGGGCTGTAGATTCACATTCGGTTGAGACAATGCTTGAAAAGGCAGTCAAAGTTGTTGTGTCAGTGATTGAGACTTTTATGATGGAGTTAAAATAGTTTGTACTGTTTTCTATGATAAAAATAATTTCTTGTGTGAAATCCCACTGTCATGTTTGGAACATGCTATGTCATATATATGCTTCATTTTTAAGGTCAAATATTGCTTTCTGAGATTTGTTAACAGTGCCGGTTGGTGTGCCCTCTGGAGGGCACAGTTTCCTCACATTGAATTGACTGAGAGATGGTCCCAAACTGAAATGACTCCAGAAAAGTTGTACACTTCAAACGTTGAATTGTATGGTATGCAAACTATATTTCAATAAAGCTGTTGCAAAGTAGGAAAAAAGTTGTCTAACTCAGTGTTTCTGTTAAAAGAACACAGAACTATATAACTATCTTAATTAAAACAATATCATTCATAATTTTTAAAGACTTGACTTTATTTATTTTTAGACAGAGGGAAAGGGACGGAGAAAGAGAGGGAGAGAAATGTCAATGTGTGGTTGTCTCTCATGCGCCTCCCCCCCCAACTGGGGACCTGGCCAGAAACCCAGGCAAGTGCCCTGACTGAGAATTGAATCAGCACCCCTTTGGTTCTCAGGCCAGTGCTCAGTCCATTGAGTCATACCAGCCAGGGCTGATTTTTTTCTATAAAAAAGACAAACATTATGGAATAGGAAATTATTAATGATAAAATCTTTATTTTGTTACTCCAGTGTCTCACTGACTCACCAGAACACCCAGACAGTGTATTTATAGTTAAGTTGAGTTATCTTTAATACTTTGTCAACTCTGAGTCATAAAACAACCATAGTTATATAAATCTTTTTTGACATTTTAGTTATAGAGACACGTTTGTCAGGGTGGGAAGATTAGCTTGATAATAACCCATAACTGTTAAGACTTACAAGAAATGGGTACACATTTGTATTCACGTCAGGGCCCTGAGAAACACTTAAGGGACTCTTTTTTTTCATGTGGATAACTGAGACAACTCTTAGTATTTGATAAGATTTTTCTTTGTAAGAAAAAACATTTCTTCAGACTGCTTTTTTAGAACACACACCAGCTTTTCAGTCTGTCTCCCTAACCTCAGCTCAGAGCCCTCATGACTTCCCACTCTGCTCCCGAAGACAGAGGAAAGTCAACACGGCCAGCAGGCTGTATGGCCCAGCCCCTTTGTCTTCACCAGCCAGTTCTCACAAAGCACATTCTTCTGCTCTCTGCACTCCAGCCACATGTTCAGACCCTCCCTTCTTGTAACCTGGACACACGCTTTTCACATTCTTAGAGTGGTCTTCCTTTGTGTTACTCACCTTTGCTCTTGGTCTGGCCTGGCCTCCTTGTCAAGGTCACATCTTTGTATTCTAGGTTCTCCTGATTCCATGAACTGCTCTTTGCAGCACCTAAGTACTTGTGCCCATTAGTGTCATTCTCCTTGTCACATGTGCCCCCCCCCCACCAGCCTGTAAGTTCCCTAAGGGGAGATGTGGCCATGTTGGGCGGGACTCACACTATCTCTCCTTGTGCCAGGTGTAGTGCCTCACACTTGGCACATGCTTAATAAGCTTTGTAAAAATGCTGGTAAAATAGACATAAAATGTACCATGTTAATCTTTTTAAGTGTATAGTTCAAGTAGCACTAAGTACATTCATGTCACTGTATAATCGACCTCTAGGACTCTTTACATCCTGCAGAACTCCATACCCACTAAACAACTCCCTGCTCCTCCCTCCCCCTGGCAACCACCATTTGATTTTCTGTCTCTGGAAATTTGACTACTCTGGGGGCCTCATGTAAGTGGACTCATACAGTATTTGTCTTTTTGCGACTAGCTCATTTAACTTAGCATAATGTCTTCAAGTTTCATTCATACTGTAGCCTAGGTTGAAATTTGCCTCCTTTTTAGGGCTTGAATACTATTCTAGTATTTTTAAATACATGAGAGTGACATAGAATTCATCTAGTCTCAAGTACTACACTATCTCCAACATAAGAAAATTGGGTAGGTCATCCTCTCTCAACCCCCCAGTGCTACGTGAGTACCAATGAATTCCATGGCAGGAATGACACCCAAAAGTGGCCAAGCACGAGGCTCATCCTGATTCTCTGAGACCCTTTCTGGTATTCTCCCAGTCCCAATGATGAATAAAAGAGTATGCTCCAGTGTTGTGGACCGCTCTGCCTAGTTCTAGGAATTGTAACTCTATCCCTGTGGCTAAGGACCTCTGGAATTTGAGCCGCAGGAGACAAGGCTTATCTCTGGTAGAAAATGCTGCCTCAGTTTCCTCTCCCTGCCCCCAAAGCTTAGTCGGAAGTCAATGACGGGTAAGACCCCTCACAGAGAGGGGCAACCTAGGCCAGACATGATCACTTGGGAGGCCTTCATGGAAGGACTTGGCGGGGGGGGCGCTGCAAAAAAGAGCAATAGACTCTCAGCCCCAACCCCGGCTTTGACAAAGACTGAGTCCCCATGTTCTCTAGGATAAGTGCTTCCTGGCTCTAATCCCCTTAAGCCTGAATACCTGATGGGGAGAGGTGCAGCTCCTTGCCTTGCTAAAGTGTGTCCTGGGGAAAAATCTGGCATCACAAACACTTCCTGATAAACCCGTGACATCGGCTCTGCTAAGAGTGCTTTCATTCATATGTTAAGGGTTCGAGCAGGAAACCTGAAAACTCTGTTCCTGACAGACTTGGACTCAGACTAAGCCCTCAGATTTCTTTGATCATTGCCGCCCTATATTCCTGTGTATTACAACCCAATAAAAGTCCTTAGAGAAAGGGGCTCAACGCCTTTTATCCCTGAGAAACTGGCCACTGCTCACGGCTTTTTTCTTCTGGGAAAATGGCCACCTCTCCTCTCCAAATAGATCACATCATGTCTCTGTAATGTTTACTTTCATCAGTGGCAGTCGTGGGGGACATGCAGGAAAAGTCGCCCCCACACTCCAGGTACTCTTTACAGGTTACTTTCTCTAATCCTCATAGTCACCCCATAAGATATGTGGTAGTATCATCATCTTTATGTTACAGATGAGAAAACTAGGACTAAGTAACCTCTACCAGGTCACACAGCTTGTAAGAGGAAGAATGAGGATTTTCAGGCAGTCAGACTTTACAGGCAAACTGTTTTTATTGGAGAAAAAAGCCAGAGTCATGACCAAAAGGACATAGTTATACTGTTCTAACGAGGACAGATCTGAAGTGCACAGCCACACACTGAACTCTGAGCCCAGACAGACCCACTATCTTGCAGGCGCCAGCTGCCAGGGCAGGAGGAAAACACTTCAGACAGGCGAGTGTCCTCAGAAGCAGTCTCTCTGTCACCTCACTTCCACCTCCAGAGGCAGGGGAAGTGGGTGCCGAATTCCCATGTCAGAGAGGAGAGACCTGGCTGGGAGTCAGCAAATGACAGAAGGGAAATGCAAACGCAGAGCTGGGTCTAGAAGCCAGGCCGCCAACGCCTCGGCCTTCAAGGCTCAGCACAAATATCACCTCCCCTGAGGGCATTTCTTCCCCTCCGATACCTGCCCCCTTTGAGCTCTCAAAGCGTCTGTGGACATCCCCGTGGAGCACACCCCATAACTGCTTGTTTACAACTAAGCCTCTCACTATATCCTTAGTTGATGAGGGTGAGGCTTGAAACTCACTCATTTGGGTACACTGTTGCCTGAGCCATAACCAGCTCTCAAAGAATGGCTATGTGGAGCCATGATGGGAACAAGCATGAGAAGCCACAGTTCTTCAAAGGCCTTATGTCATGACAACTGCAGGAAAATGTGATATAAGTTGTCTAAAGGTGATCATGATGAGAACAGGTGCCCCTGAAGCCACCGTTTTAAGGATGACTCTTGGCTGCCTAAACCCTACATGATAATGTGAGGACCTATGGGAAGATCCTACACTGTCAGAGCTCAGTCCAAAGTCCCTGATCGGATCAGATCTCTGCTCTCGCAGACTCCTGGGTCCCTGCACCTCCTCCCGTCTATGATAGTGCAATGCTTTCCTGTATTCCACCACAGTAAGGCTGACCTCGGGTCTAGTGCTACCTTACCCCAAGAAAGTATTAACACTTCTATATTCCACATACTACAAAGCTGAGATGAATGGACAGATTATGTAACTATCTCAAGGCAAACTATGATTTTGGGCCTGAAGCCAAAAAAAAAAAAACCAATCTCTCAAGACTCAGCC